TCTAAACTCAATCAGGAAATGAAAGTATACCCAAGAGTAGATGAGTCCAGGCAAAGCCAGGCTAACTGATTGGCTGGTTTGCATGTGGATTGGTAGATGTCAGCCCTTATTTGTTTTTGTTGTTGTTGTTAACGTTATTTGGAGGCACTTACAGCAGACTTCTATAGCTCATTTGGATTATGGATGAGCTGAGCTAAATCTAATAGGGCTACATTTGCCTTTTGTTCTGTTGGGTCTGAATGACCCATCTGGAGCTATTGTTATGTTCCTTTTGTATGTGGCCTTAACTTTTAAACTGTACACAATATTGTCTGCTTTGTAAAATAATGCTAAGTTATTTTCATTATTGGAACGGCAAGGTGAAACAAAAATTTTAAGTTTCACAAATTTTGTCCTGGATTGAAACACTATATTTGGTTTCTAATACATAAGGAGAGATGTTTAGTTCTTAATAATAATGGTCAGTCATAAGGTGTAGCATCCAATTCTGTTAATTTAAAATGACGGAATTGAGTCGTGGGTATTATATCAAGAATGGAAAAAAATTGTGGTGAGTAATAAGGGACACTTGAGTAATATTCCTTGGTTTTGTGGAGACTGGTAATACTGGAAAAAATGGAAATGTAATAACTAATGACTATTATCTATTTTCCAAAGAAATGTGAGTATGATACTGTGCACACAGTGGTTTTAGAAAGAGAGATGGGAGAGGGGAGAAAGAGGTTGAGATTATTTTATTATTGTTTTCCTGTTTCTAAACTATGCCTGTGTGTGTTGATCTCATTTTTATACCTGCGACTTTACATTTTTATTGTTTTTGGCACCTCCTTTGGTGTATATACGGAAATGAAAAGGTGAAAATAAAGGAAACTTTGTTACTCTTTAGTCTACTCTGGATTTCATAATTTAAAGAGTCCTTTTTATGAATTAGCTATTGTCTGTGGTTTCTAATCACCATAGCCCCAGGTGAATCTCTTTATTATCAGATATGTTTGAGAAGTGGTGTATTACCTCTGCCATCTTGACTCAACACATTTATTATCATGTTGTATAGTTATATTGAGTGTTGCTAACCTATTTTAGGGATTATAAACTCCCTATAGGTGTAAGAACAACAGATATGTCAGTGTTTAAACTTTTCTAGGAAGAGGATCCACAGCTTTCGCCCTATACTGAAATAATAATAATAATTTAAAATAATAATTTTTTAAAAAATCATTGTTTCAAACTAAATAAAGAATGATTAGAAAATATACTATATACTGTTTCATATTTTAAGCAAACAAACATCAGGAACTGCATTTCTGACTCAAATGTATTTCTGCTAGCATTTGACAGCTGTCCTCCTATAAATACTGTTGCACAAATGGATTTTAGAATTGCATGAAGCTGGACCTAATTCCTCAGACCCAGTATCCCATAGTAATAAGTTAGATAGAAACTTCGGGTTGCACATTTATCTCTTCAAGCAAAAGAAAGTTGTTTAATAAAATAACAGTAAATGACTGTTACTTAACCATTTATTTAGCTGTCTTCCCCACTAAAATTTTTATCAATTCTAAAAAAAAAAAAAAAAAAAAACCAGAACGTAATTGATTCAAATTCTCTTCAAATAATTCTCTAGTAAAGAAAAAGAATGCAAATGTCGCTCCCAGTTATGAGAAGAAACAGCTAAATACCTGAAAAATCTAAATCATCCGTAGCTTAGCCTTTTTAGAAAGGTTCATTACGCAGTGATTTTCATGTTAAAACAACTATTAATTCAAAAAGTGAAAAGTGTGTACAAAGTCTCTGTGAAGATGTGACTGTTGTCTCTAAAAATAATCCAGTAAGAAAAATAAATGCATATAAAATATTAAGCAAACTAGCATTTTTTGAGTGGAAAAGAGAGACAGCTATGGTTACATTTCTATATTATTTGACTTTCTCCAAAATCAGGATCTGAAACAAATACAAACAGAATTGAGAATAGAGGACAATTATTCAAAGACCCCTTCAAAATGTATCTCACCAATAAGATAAAATCAGACAACTAGATAGTGTTTTTTTAAATTCACCTAGTAATATTAGGAAAATATTAGCAAAGGCTAAGTATGATTATAGTGTTACCAATATCTTTTCATTAAAACAAAAATATTTTGTTAAACTGCAATTGGTACTTCTAGTATATAGGGAAGTATATATTTAAGTGGATTTTGTTGGTTTAAGAGAAAATTTCCACCAGTTAAGATGAAATTTAATATGCCCATCCTATTAATTAAATACTATCAGTAATTAGCCAGATAATTAGCTATAAATAAAGTCAAGAGATCTTAACTGTAGATATGCAAACATGATGTAACTGCCTCATAACTTTTACACCCTGGTATCTACCTTTTGTTAGAAATGTTGCCTTTCTTCTTTCTCTTCTTTTCTTTCCTTTTCTTCCTTTCCTTTCCATCCCTTTTCTTTTTCTTTCCCCCTTCCCTTTCCTCTCCTCTCCTCTGCTTTCTCTCCTCTGCTCCCTCTCCCTCTCCCCTCCTCTACCTTCCCTCCCCCTCCCTCCCCTCTGCCCCCCCTCCCCTTCCCTCTCCTTCTCCTTTCTAAGCTGTGTTGGCTATTTCAGAACTATTGTTTATTCCTATTGCTCTAGGACCAGCAGAGCAGGACCCAAGACCAAGTTATAAAAGCCCCCAACCCTCTTGCCAGATTGTCTCATCCCTAGACACACTGCGAAGCTACTTATCTCCTGGGCCATTTTAATACACCTAAAAAAATCTTGTATGACTTATGGAACTTCCTGAGGCTTTCAGAAGGTATAAAACTATAGGTTTTAACTCTTATTCTGCATCACAATCACCTGGGTAGCACCTTCAGAAATTTCTGATTCACTTGGTCTGTGGCAAGGCTGAAATTAATTGTTTTTAAAAGATGCTCTGGTAGCTCTAATGTGTAACAAAAGGCTAGAATCCCTCCACTCATTTGTGTGTACTTCCAGACTAATTTCACAAGTTCCCAAAATAAGAATTTTGGGGGTGCCTTCAAGGATTACAAATAATAATACCATTCTTTGAATAAATGCAATGGTATCAAAATAGTCTGAAAGAGTTCCCTGTTTGTTAGCTGTTCTTAGTGGCACAAGCCTGTAATCTCAGCTACTGTACTTGGGAAGCTGAGGCACGAGAATAGCTTGGACCTGGGAGGTAGAGGTTACAGTGAGCCAAAGATCGCATTGCACCACTGCACTCCAGCCTCAGCCTGGGTGATACAGCAAGACTTTGTCTAAAAAAAAAAAAAAGAAAGAAAAAGAAAAGTTCACCCTTTTTGCACCTGAGATTTCTAAATCCAATGAACACATGGATTATTATTCAACAACGATCTCATTAAGGATTTAATTATCCAGGAGGCCAGGAAATGCTTGACCACATACAAATAGTCAGAGGGTCTGTCTGATCTCAACAGATGTCTTTCTTCAGCACCTGTTGGAGTGAACTCTGCCACTAGCCCTTTCAATGGGATAGGGTTTTAATTTTCCAAAAGTAGCAAGCCAGCTGGAATGCTAGAAATGCACATTTGCTGCTTATGTTCCATTCTAGTGAACCATCTCCTGGATCACTATGTTGATCTCTTGAGTGTGTAGTTAATGACAGAAGTCTACAAATACCATTAGAATGGACTAGCAGCCTTGTTTATAAAGGTTTTTTGGAGGGAGTCGATTTCACATAATCAGCCAATAATGGAAAACAATGTTGTTTTTACCCTCTGAGAAGCCTGTCAACAATTGACTTGTTAAAAAGCTAGAAACATGGTTGTAAATTGAAGAATGCAGAAAGCTCACCTAGGAAACTGTTTCACAACAGGCTCTCCACTTTCTTCCCCAAGTGGAGAGTCTAAATTTGTGTTTGATTTTAATGGAATTAGCTAAGATGTTGTACAGCTTCATGTTAAACATATCCATGGCTGATTCTATGCAAAAGCAGGCTGTTAGTATCATTACCCTAAGTGCATTCATCATTTCTATCTATAGTATATACCGAATCAGATTTTGCTGGGTTGTAAGTCATGGGTTATGCATAGCTATTCAAATACTTTATTTGTGAAACAGCTGAATGACTCCCTGACCTGACGTTAGTGAGTGGGCAGATCATCTTCATCTTTATGCCTTCCTGTCCTTTCTAAAAATAGCAGGGCCTTTGACAAGGATGTATTTTAAGCCGCTCATATTCACTTGTCTCATTAGGAGAAGCTTATTTCAGCCACTTGCATATGTGAGGTTTGCATCTGTGCATAGTTAGACTTTTGGAATAGCAGTCCATGCTTCTCCACACCACTCATGTAAGAAAATTGCAAACATAGACACTGAGACTGCTAGCTGAGAGTTTTGGCTACAAGTCAGTGGGTAAACAAAAATGAAGGGAAGACACTTTTTAGGAATGTGACTTTGCTTCCGAAATCATCCATTTCGGACATTTGTACATCAGTTCTCAGCATCTTGGAGCTGTTTTCACAAAACCTGGCTGTGATTTCGCTCCAGAGACCTCCGTGATCTTGCTGCTTTTAATAAATATTTATAGGAGGTGCTTCCAGCCTGTGAATAAGGGAAACTAATGAGAAACTGCCATCCAAAATCTGAACGGCAAAAACAAAACCAAGCAAAACCAAAAAATCTAAAACAAAACCAAAAAAGAGCAACTCAAACAATTGGTGTTCACAAGAAGACGCGTAGAAAAAGACCACCATGTAACTTTGATTTGATAACTGGATTTATCAGTCACTTGACTGGCATGCAGAGGGTACTTTTTATCTTTCTACAGTGCTTTGAAAAACAAGTGCAAATTTATGTTATTCTGCACAACTGGGACCAAAAAATTATGAGTGTGAAAAAACACAAACTCTAAAAGCAAGATGGAATGGAAGCAGGTAAACGCTGTTCCACCGTCATGTCATTCTGGTACAGATGTGCGCAGTACTCGTGTTTGCACCTCTAAGAAATTTCCATTTTTTCACATCAAAAAATCCAGATATGAAGCTGAAGCTGCTTTCTTCGCCAACCTGAAGCTGTCTGATTTCAACATCATTGACACACTTGGAGTCGGAGGTTTCGGACGAGTAGAACTGGTAAGTGACCGTTCTTTACATGCTTTTGATCACCTCTGCTTCCTTTTTAAGTTTTTCCCATGGATTAAGGTTTCTTTCTTTTCTCTTTTTTTCTCTTTTATCATTAATTACCATTGTTCCTAAATCAGTACCAAATACTTTCAGACAGCCATGTCAAAATTTGCAACAAAGTGGGCTAAATTATGGCATCAGTAGACTAAAAATTAAATAACGCATTGCTTTTTAGAAAACCTCTTTATATTAAGTGTAAGGTAAACACATTTACTTAAAGAAGAGTCAGCTGCATTATGGAGTCAATAAACTAAAAATAATACATTGCTTTTTAGAAAACCTCTTCATATTAAGTATAAGACAAACACACTTAAAGAAGAGTCATTAAGCACTTTTGCCCAGCTAATTTTCTATAATCTTTATTTTCTTAGTTTTGAGTAGTGCCTATTAACAATTGTGTACCCTAAAAACAATTACAATAATTTAAATGTAAATTTAAATACACTTAAAGGGAAATAGAAGATGTATATATGAAATAAATGCTGTTATAGTAGTAATTCTGTGATTCTGTAGTTGCAAATACCTATTTACAGTGTACAATTTGAATTTTTATATAGTTTATTTCACATACACAGTATGTATGTATATGAATACACATACACATATATACATACAGCTTTATAGTCATGAAGATGATGAATACATTTTAAGTTCGTACATTAAACACATTACAAGAATGTGATATAAACAACATGAAAACATACTCTATTTTGCATTTGTTTGAAATATAAATGAAAAAACTGACATGTTGTCACAGTAATTAGAAATAAATGTATTCTTATGACTGAGTAGCTACATTTCAAGACTGTGTGGCTATAAACCCTAATTGAGAATGCAGATTGATTTCCACCTCTCTGGTGAACATGGAGGAGTCCCTGATATCAGACACCAGTACAGTATGTGAGGAACTCCCTGAGACTGTGTACAGTGTAGTAAACAGTTACCGTTGCCATCAGGGGTCAGGAGAAATCCCCTTCCTTAAAAGTACATTGACCCAGCACTATTTTTATGTTTGTCTATTTGTATTGCAGTTAGAATTTCTGACTTGAACAGGCAGAAAGATGGTATTTACTTAAATATTAGACAAGAAGGTTTTAGAGCCCTATGTCTAACTGAATTAGCATTATGCTTCCCTTAATACTGGTTGGAGACACCATAACCTGCCTTTGATGATATGAGTATTTTCAGTTCTAGGAGGAAAAATACAAGTGAGGTTCTGAACAGACAACCTCTTGCTTTTCTGAACCTTGCCAATTAATGTAGCCATGGCTTTATTTTTTAAAAACTTTGGTTTTGTGGCAAATTATAATTGTCTGTATAGCTATAAAGATACATTAACAACATTATACATGAACTACATATACATGTAATCTCCATCCTGAGAGAAATGCCAGATAGTCTACCTAGTTTTCCTCTCACAGATACTATATTTTACTCTTTTAGACAGATAGTTTATAGACCAATGAAAACCATAGCCCTAAGAATTAATTCAGGTTGGAAATACAGTTCACTTTGCAAACACTTTAGATGTCATTAATGAATGATAAATTCATAGTGGATCATTGGGTACAACTTGTACATCGGGGCAAGAGGCACAGGTCCTTAACCCTTAAGGCCACATCAGTTTTGTTGTCTTGCACATCTACAACACACTGTAGGACAATCAAAGTGCCTGTATTGTCTTCAGTATTCAATGTGGACCAGCCATTTAAGTGATCACTAATACCTTATTTTCCCAATTCTTACCACTTATTAATTTCCTGATAATACTACTTTTGGGGTATTAAAGTATTATCTGATTGTTCAACTTTTACATACATTTAATGATGCCAGAATTGGGAGTTTGACCTCAACACTTTGCCTGTAATTGTACACACTATTGTCATGGAGTGTAATGAATCACCATGAGGATAATGGTGTACCATCAGAGTGGCGCCTACCCCATTCATAGTTAGGAGTATGATATAGGCAGAGACCAGTTCTTTTGTGATTATAGAAGTTTTCACTCTCCTCTGAGAATGATGCATGTAAGATAATCTTGTCAATATTATGAAGTGCTATTAAAGCAATATGTAAGCAATAAAATCTTCATATAAACTCATTTCATATTTGTGTATGCAGTGCTCAACATGTTAATACAAAGTATATAATACTTTGAATCTTAGTTTAGCAGTAATATTGAGCAGGTAAATGACATTTCAAGATAATACTATAATTTTAAAGGTAATATACTTTAATTTTAAAGTAGTGTTTTTTTAAAAAAAAATTCTCAGAAATAAGATGATAAAATTATAAACCCTCCAGTGGAGTATGAAGAATTTAGAAATTTGAATTTTTTACAAAAAATTAGCTGGACATGGTGGCACGTGCCTGTAATCCCAGCTATTCAGGAGGCTGAGGCAGGAGAATTGCCTGAACCCAGGAGGCAGAGGTTGTGGTGAGCCGAGATCGCGCCATTGCACTCCAGCCTGGGTAACTAGAGCGAAACTCTGTCTCAAAAAAAAAAAAAAAAAAAAAAAGAAATTTGAATTTTTGAACTTCATTTCTTGTTAGAGTGAAGTTAAGAATATAGTTTTCTTATCACTGTTTGACATACAGATTATATTTGTGTGTGAAGGTGCTATACCCTTCACAGAGTTTTTAGCATTTCTTAATTTTTATCATTCATGTCAATTTAGATAAATGTAAATGCAGAAGTATTTTTTTACAGGAGAATTTATAAATGGTTTATTATCAGTTTTTGGAGGTGAGAACATAATTTCACCGCATAATAAGAAACTTAAATATTTGTTTAGTCAACAGTCCAGAAGCTTGAAGTGAAGGTCTTGTATGCTTGGGAATTGCAGTCTTAAGCTGTTTAGTCTCTTCCTAAATACTCTTAGCATAACTGACTTTCACTTCTTTAATATCAAATATGTCCTGTTCACAACCATTTCCTCTGGGCAGTCATTTGGACTGCTTTCCTGTTTTCTGGCATATGCCATATTTTCTGCCTATGTTCCTTATTTTTAAGAATGGTCTTTCTAATGTGTTCAGTTACTATGTGTTTATAGCATGTCTTCTAGGAGAACACATTTGTAGTATCACCTTCAGCAAAAGAACTCAGCTCTCTTTTTATATATGACTTACTCATTAAAGCTCTATGCAATGCTGTAAGACATCTAGGTAATCATCTTCATTTACAAAGTCTGACTGTAAAATAAGGAGGTTGGTTTTACAAATTACAAGTGAAAATTAGTCCCATTGCTTTATGGTCACATTCCCAATTTACACTACTTTTGTCCTTGTGAGAAAGGCACCTGCTTTTCAGAATAGATTTGTACAAGTCAAACACAAAACTGATTTTTAATATGCCAATAATATGTAGTTGGTGCTTGAAATATTAGATATTTAGTCTATTTAGCAATCCAAATGTCTCTCATACCAGCACACCATACTTGGGTAAAATACAGGAACAAAGATAAGAGAAACATAACCTCTGTCTTTTTGGATTATATCCTTTCTACATCAGTTATTAGTGTATGTATAGTGAGCTCTATGATTGTCTATAAAAAATTAATAAATAGAATAGTCCTTAGCTCTAGAGACTCACAGTCTACTGGGAAGGGCAATCACGTAAACTAATAACTAAACTCATAAGCAAAGCATGATCAGCAGGGGCTCAGTGCATGGAGGAACATGACTTCTTGCAGGAGATAGCATTTCTGAGGCAGAGGAAGAGTTAAAGCATCAACATAAATAACCTGACGCTTTATGGAACATACCTAGTAAGATGAAACTATTGCAGAATCAAATGTTTATTAATAAATTAATATTCTTTAATAAAATAACCTTTCATTTGAACCCTAATTTATAATCTTCAAATTGCTTTCATGTTCATGGTATAATCTGGCCCTTAATAGCTACCCTGGGAGGAGAACATGAGGCATGATCAATGTTTTACAGGAAAGAAGACAAGAATAATGTATATAAGTGGTTTAAGTAAAGCCACTTCATCATTGAAAGAGCATTGTTATTGCCCAGAATTACTGATTTTTTAACTAGAAGCTTTTACTGCCATTCTGGCTTTTAAAAATATTTAGATTCTTACAACCACCATCAACAACCACCACCCCCAAATCAAACAAGTGTTACTACCTTTGCTTTAAGAAACATTATTCTGGAATTCAAGAACCCGAATTAGAACTAAATCTAGAATAGATGCAGTAATTGTCTGCTGTGTGCCTCTCTTTCTGTTATGTCTTCCGAGCCTCCACTTCCTCTAAACCTTTTTCTGCTCCTATTTTAGTGGCAAAATGTCTGTGGAGAAAAGAAATCCGACAGTATAACATGGTAGCTAAAAGCTAGAGCTCTAGAATTAGGCTTTCTGGATTCAGATGTTACCTGTTGTGGATGCTTAGTCATTTACTTAAAACTTTGTGAACCTTGGTTTTCTTGTCTCTGAAATTATTATAATAATAGGACATGTGCCTCACAAGGTTGTGAAGAATAAACAAGTTAAAGCCCTCAAAATAGTGTCTCAAACATCATAGTTCAGTAAATGTCATTAATGTTGTTTTTGTTGGAATTATTATTAAAAGATGCTAATAACAGTTCTCTTTATATATTGCTTCCAGCTATATGCATAGAAAAGGAAGGGAATGAAATGATTTTACTCTTTTCTTTTCCATTGCCAGGCCAAGGACTGAGAGTGCAACCATTATTCCAATATAAGTAAGAGACAGGGGTCTTCAAATGACCTTCAGTGATAGCTTCTATTAAATATCTGTAGACCACTGAAGCTCTTAACTTTCTGATCTGTCATGAGAAGAGATGGGAAACAATTTTCAATATCCCTCATGCTGAACCTCTGTGCACCTGATGTAGTCTGCTTTTATTTATCCATTTCTCTTTTAAATTGTGAAGCCCCACCTCTTAACCTCTCAATGGGAAATCGTTTTCAGTGCAAA